AATCTTACTAGGTTTTGACCAAAACAATTTTTCATATATGTCAAGATGCATTTGGAATTACACGTAAAACTTTTAAGTTTAAAAATTAAGTATTAATTAAACAATGGTTTTTTATTTAATACATGTATAACTTTAAAAAAAATGGTATAGACAAAAATTAAAAATAATAATCTAAAGTTTCTGGTACAAGTCATGTACTTATTTGTAAAATCCAGAGCTTCACCGTGCTAACACGGCATTAGTTAACTTGCCATCCTCGAAATTTCAGAGCTTCTTAGTGCGCAGCAGGACTAAGGCCCGCGCCATTGCTCAGTTGAAGACATGCGCGGGCGTGCTGCTATAGAAGAACTGGCGCGTGAACCTGCGCGAGAGCCGCTTGAACCGCGGGCGGCTTGGCAAATGCTGGCTGTACCCGGAGCTCGTTACGGACATCGTCATCTCGCTGGCAGGGCTCGCTAAATTTCAATAACCGTAATAATAACTGGCAGTGACTTATTGCAATAACTAATTGACCGCCAATCCCCAATTTTATCCAATAAAACATATTCTACCTGTTTATAAAAGGACTATCCAATTGGTGGATGGAATTCGTGGGAGCATGCGCAATTCGCTACAGGAGAGCATTCCCATTCCGCAATTCGCCGAGACCAGAACAAGACCATTCTGCTACGCCGCTCCACATGTCTTCAATCACCCCGAGATCCCTTGCTGCTGCCCTCTTTGTCCCCGACGGCGATGAGTACCATCAGTGTCGAATCTGCTTCTCCCGTCGGAAGCAAGTTCGTGGGACTGGGTACACGAGCCCGGTGGAACACCTCGTCCGGTGTCATGCCAGCACTTACGAGAACGATTCAGGACGATTCAACGATGGGACGGCAGCTTCGACACTTTCTTGAAGGGCGATGGATTCCCCAGCACAACTTATCACTGGTTGGACTGGATTATCATGGAGAACCGCGAACGGAGCATGTGTGAAAAGGTGAAGACGCGGAAGTACACTCGCTTGAACCGAGTAAGCACAAAGACGCTGAAGAAGAGCATGTTCGGGCTGGAAAGCGTCGTCCAAGGATGAATCAAGTTGCTGCTGCGTGGCAAGAAAGTCGGCTGTGCCATAGATGCATGGACTGAGGACGGTACGCATTTCGTGGCAGGCATCGGTGTAACTGAGACCGACAAGTATCTGTTGTGCTTTTCGACTCTGACGGACGAGTCGGACATGGGGTCAGACGCGATTATCGAGTT